AAATTCTTTAAAAACGAGAAGGAACGTGTGAGTCGCTTCTGGGGACGCGACTCTACTTATACCCGTACTGAGTCAGCATATACATTTTTGAGCATACAATTATTTAGAATTAAAAAAAGAAAACATTTTACATTTTTTTGCTACATCTGTTATCTACATCTACATATACTATGTATATTATACATCTAACATGTATATTCTACATGTACCATTTAGATTCTACATCTCCTCCGCTGGGGGTTGCTCGCGCACTGAACGCGGCAGAGTGTGCGAGCGAGAAGGAAAATGAGTTGCGTTGTCGTTTGCGGGAGGGGGCAGGAGAAGCAACAGAAAATTAATTTCTTCATTCTGGCTATAATTATGATCTGATCTGATTCAGATTTGGCAATCTGGTAGATATGGGCATTCTCTACGATACTGCGTTTTTAGTTTTATAGTATCTTTAAAATTGTGCCTGCCACAGATTTTCGTCCTTTGTGGGGGCGGAAGGGGGCGGGGCGAAATTCTGAAATACACTTGTAGCAGTGTGATATCACATAAGTCTGGAAACCAAATTTGGTTTCGCTAGCTTTTATAGTCTCTGAGATCCAGGCGCTCATCGAGACGGACAGACGGACAGACGGACGGACGGACAGACAGACATGGCTATATCGACTCGGCTATTGATGCTGATCAAGAATATATATACTTTATGGGGTCGGAAAATTTTCCTTCTCTGCGTTACACACATCCACTTTTACCACAAATCTAATATACCCCTTAACTCTTTTTTGAGTACGGGTATAAAAAGTTCTGCCATAGAAAAAAACAAAATATATCATCAAACCATTTCTAAGCCCCAAATCTTTAAGAAAAAGTTCGTTTTGTTCCTTGAGGAAAAATCGTGTTGACTAGTGTTATCATAACGTTTTTTGAGTTTTTCTAGAGCCTTCGGATATTTTTCGCTGGTAACCTGGAATGCCTGAAATGTGTCTAACGCCGGCCCCTTTAGGCAGGTCAGCAAATAATTAAACCTCTCTATGTTAGACAGTCCAGACTCACGCACAATAAGTTGATCGAACGAATTTATGAAATTCTTATAATTCGCATAAGGGCTGTCAAACGTAGGCAGCGACAACCTCGGCAACGATGACCGCACTGGTGTTCCGGCGTCAATATGCTAGCGTTCAGATCTCCTCGTAGTTTTTCCTTTATGGATAGCTTTATTGCTATGTAGGTATCTTCCAAATACACACGTCCTTCATCGTTCGTACTAAGATCCTCAATGTCAGATTGAACGTTTAGAATTTTCTTGAAATACTTTTCCAAGATGCTCAAGTGATAGCAAAGCTCATCATTACAAATTGGGTTTTCCGATTTACCTTCCACCACAGATGTGATACGAGAAATATTGCGCTTTATATTGCTCCGTTGGCGTTTCAACTTTTCGAGCGTCGTCATTTTATTGTGTAGTGTAAATTAGACGCACACAGAACTAGAGATTCCAAATGCAATGCACGCAACAACAGCAAGAAGGCACCAAATCAGCAGCAGCAGCAAGAGAACAAATTTAGAAGCGAGCGACGGCGGCAAAAACAAAAAGGGTTGAGCGCAATTCCAGTCCAGAGAGTAAGCGAAAATTCCAACGACGGCAACGAAAGCGAAAGTGAAGCGGAGAAATTCGAAGCGTTGACCGATGGACCAAAGCAGGTAGTAGCAATGCAAACGAAACGAGAGCGCAAGCGCCGTTAAATGCGATGTGGGTGATAAGCGAATGATAGAATTAAGCGAGAATGGCGAGAGCACAGCGAGAGGTTAATGAACCCGCGATCGATCAGCTAGCTTCTGATATGATTTTCAGCAATTTCGATGGCAACTGCGAGACGAAACGAAAGCGGAGTTTTTGCACTTGCAAATTATGTACCGACGAAACTGTTTGATGGAATATACATAAATGCGAGTAATTTAATTGTCCACAGAATTAACACACGAGCCCCACGTTGGGCGCCAACATTTTTGATCGAGGAGCGTTTTCCTCAATATAGTTGTTCAAGGATGGGGGTGTGTCAATCTCCAGTGAGCTAATTATACTCGATGCGAAGAAATTTGCTGTAATCCAAGAATAGTGCGAAAGTCGAGGGGGTTCAGTTGAGTACTAGCCAATAACTATTTATTCGGTTTCTAAGTGCATGAGCACTGAGCATAAACGGGCTTCCAATGTGGTGAATTCAATTACAAATATAATGCAAGAGCGTAACAAAGAGAGTAAGAATGAGCGTAAGGTACTACAACGCGAGGGTCATTTAAGTGATTATTATATTATATTATGACATTAAGAGTTTGACCGAACAGTAGGATTCGTTCCAAATCACGGGGAGGCAAGAACGTTCCAGAGACAAAATAAACAGGAAGGTCAAAGGTTGGCATAGGGCTCGAGCGAAATACTTTAAAATGCAGCTCGGAACTTTATCAGGTCCTACAGAGAAACAGATGTCAATCGATGACAATCCTTCAAAAACTGTGCTTTCTTCAAATAAAGGAAGAACTACGTTGTTAACATGAGAAATATTGTAGGGATAAGGGGTGGATGAGTCGTAGGTATGAAATGAATATGTCGATTGAAAGAAGGCGGGAAATAAATTTGCAATACCTTGAGCTACCTCTGACAACCGTTGCTTGAGAAGCTGACGAAAGTGAGATCTAACAGTCTACCTCTACTGTTTTTGACGGAATTAATTTTGGCAAGGGAGACATCAACAAAAACATGTTGACTACCAGGTAACAGCATGTTTGAATCATCCTGCTGCCAAAATAGAAGTGGTATGTTGAAGTCGCCCATTACTATAATATGATCAGCACAACCTGAAACAGAAACCACAGAATGAATGGCAGAACGGTGGTTCAAATAAACAACAGCATCAGATCTAGGAGGAATGTATGAACAGGTTAAAAAGATAAACGACGCTCCAATACGGATTTTGACTGCTACAAATTAAATTTCATGTGTGTTGTTAAATGGAAAGAGCTCGGATGCAAAATCATTTTTTACTGCAATAAGAACCCCACCTGCAAATGATGGTCGATCCATTCTGTAGGTGGAGAACTTGTGGACGAAAATTTCATGATCGGTGATGGAAGAGTTAAACCAGGTCAGGCTGACGGGTACTTAGGAGAAATGCGGGTTATCTTCTTAGCATTGCATTCTTAGCATTCGTCTCATTCGTGCTCATAAGGAGCGGATTCAGTCTGTCCGCTTAGGATTGCGGTAGACCTTGGCCCTCTCTTTTCTCATTTTATGTTTTACATTATCTTGTAGTAGTCTGAAATAGAGCACTTGCTGACCACTTACCAATATTGACCTATAACCTCTGCACGGTACCTGCTGGGGAATGAGGACTGGTCTCCCCGATTGCACACAACAGGATTTTGTGGACAGAATGTACTCGAACAAAGACTCTTCCCTGGAAATTTTGCCCGTATCTCTCCAGAGGGAGCAAAAAATCCACTCATTTATGACTGTTTTCCTTGGAACCTGTTCCGTAGGACTGTGCAGAGTTCAGCTTCTAGCGAAAGTTAACGTTTATAAAAGCCTCGAACCGCAATTTTGAGAAGCTCGAGAGTTTTCTCGTTTCCACTGCTTTGGCTCCTTTTTATCGTTTGATACCCTTGAACTTGCAGACAAGCCGGTTGTATGCGTGAAAGACGGCATATTTCATGACAGTCGATATCTTCACCTCTGGGTGACTACGGTGGATGAGGGCTACCTGCAGCTCTGGCGTTGATCCAAGGGTGGCAAGAATTTCCTCTAATTTACCCCATTTCGACTCGGAAGCTTTATGTAGTCATGTTTCATCTTCCACTTGAAACTTGACTCCCGGCCACTCGGTTAAACCGATAGCTCCTTTTCTTCCCGGTTCCTTTTGGACTTTCCCTTCTGTTACTCGATGTCTTTGCGCTCTCTCTTTCCCTTGTGATTTCACAGACGACACACCTTCGTATTTATAACAGCGACAACTGACGATAAAGTTGACGGTTGGTCTTCCTTTGTGACTACCGTGGGTTCGCGGTAACCGCTCGTACCTCCGTACTGTCTCTCGTGGTAAGCGTGTCGTGGGGTCGCTGGCTAAGTCCCCGTAGGTACTTAACCGACGCCCTGTAGCCCGATAGACGCTTGCGTTGGCTCCCTGCCTCGTCCGTTTTCTTTTCCTCCGCTGCAGGTAGTAGACCTGAAAAGACTTGAATGTTGGGATCCGTGACTTCTAGCCTCTAGCCAGTGAAGAGAAGCTTCCGCCTGTTACCTTGGGTTTCCTATTGGGTTTTTAAGAGATGCCTCATTCCTATTTGTGTTCTTAATTTTAAATGTGTATTTTTCATTCTTTCCGTTTTCCAGTGTCTATACTGCACTGTCAATATGTACTCTCAATATTGCCTTACCGGCAGCTCTATTAATACGTTGCAGTATCAATATGCCCAACCAGAGCTAATTAAAGGTTTATTTTGGTAAAACCCCGTCTCTTTTTGTAAAATAAAAGGAAAATATGGAAGTCATGCCAAGTCATGCAGTAGCTACTCGAGCAAAGGTAAAAATGAATGGTTTAAATTAAGTTTTAAAGCGAGTCTTTTTGGGCCGGCATTTGGTTAAGGAGGCAAAAATATCTTGGTTTTATATCTTTTTAGATGTGCAGAACTAGAAACGTATAAATTAAAAAAAAAATCGTATAAGGGATTTGTATCTTCTTAGATGCAAGCATTTTCACATTTTTGATTATAATAAAAATTAGCTACAATAATTTACCGTGGCTTAACTCGATATTAAAAAAAACTCGATAAACAAAACAAAACCTGAAAATTAAAAAAAAATCGAATAAGTGGTTTGTATCTTCTTAGATGCCAGCAGTTTCACATTTTTGATAATAATAAAATTGAACTGCAATGATTTACCGTGGCTTAGCTCAATATTAAATAAAATTATTATTTATTTAACATAATTTTTACAAGCTCTGTTAATTTGTTTATTTCAGGAAATTAAAGCAAATATTACGTCCACGAATCCAAGATTCACGGTTTCAGGTCTTGCTCCAGGTACCCTGTATAAACTATATATTTTTTCGTTTAATACAAAAGGTCGATCAGATCCTGAAATACTTAATGCGGCTATGCTCCGAATGCCTGAAAAGCAGCTTACATCAGAACAGAGTGAGCAATAATTTGTTTTATTAATCTTGGCGTACCTCTGATATATTATGGCATTTTAACACTGAAATTAATTACCAATTGATAGTTGAGTTAACCCAAAAATTTAGAATGTGTGTTTACAATTTAAACGAGAAGGAACGTGTGAGTCGCTTCTGGGACGCGGCTCTACTTATACCCGTACTCAGTCAGCATATACATTTTTGAGCATATATTTATTTAGAATTAAAAAAAAAAAAATTTTACATTTTACATTTTGTTGCTACATCTGTTATCTACATCTACATTTAATTTCTTCATTCTGGCTATAATTGTGATCCGATCTAGTTCAGATTTGGCAATCTGGTAGATATGGGCATTCTCTACGATACTGCGTTTTTAGTTTTATCGTATCCTTAAAATTGTGCCTGCCACAGATTTTCGTCCTTTGTGGGGGCGGAAGGGGGCGGGGCGAAATTCTGAAATACACTTGTAGCAGTGTGATATCACATAAGTCTGGAAACCAAATTTGGTTTCGCTAGCTCTTATAGTCTCTGAGATCCAGGTGCTCATCGAGACGGACAGACGGACGGACGGACAGACAGACATGGCTATATCGACTCGGCTATTGATGCTGATCAAGAATATATATACTTTATGGGGTCGGAAAATTTTCCTTCTCTGCGTTACACACATCCACTTTTACCACAAATCTAATATACCCCTTAACTCTTTTTTGAGTACGGGTATAAAAATATGAGTTATTGGGTTTAACAACTAAAAGCTTAGTTTTCCAAGTAGCAGTATGAAGCTCTTTTCTTTAGCTGGCGCTCTTAAATCTATTGTATATTGTTGCACAGCTATCACAGTGCGCTCTTATTTATCTAACACTCACTCCCTCGCTAATCGAATATTACGCTGTGCTGTCCGAGCAAAGTCCAAGTGCATAGCGTTCGCGGTCTGAGTGGTTTGCATTGCCTTTAGATCGAGAGTCAGAGTGGGGGTGGTGTATGCGTTTGCTATAGAAGAAGAGGCACAGAAAATTAAGTTGGTAGCCGGTGAAGGGCAGATTGTGTGAGTTTGTGAGTAACCTAATTGGCCTCAAGCAAGCCGGTCGTGTTTCTGCATAGCTCTCGCATTAAAAAAAAAAAAAAAAAAAAAAATTAAAAAAAATTAACTTATAAACTGTAATTAATTCAATTTGGTCTTAAGTATCGGAGTTACACATATATTCATATTTTATAAAGCTTGTGTAAGTAATGTTTAAATGCATTCACGGGTATTATAAACTGTTCTTTATTTAACGTTGCAAGGCGAGACGTTGCATGTCTTCGCCACCCGGCTAACTATTTTAAACCCAAACTTAAAACTCTAAACTCCCCAACCTCGAACCCTTAGCTGCCGGCCAAAGTGCTGACCTTGCGCCTCGTGCCGGATGCGGCCGGCATCCGGCGATCGCGACGACGGCGATCCCACGGGTGACGAAACTGCTTATTTTCCAATATTGCAGAATTCGTCCCACCCAGTGGACAATTCAGTTAACTCTTGTTAACTACTCCCTCCTTCAAGACTTGACCGTCCTCGGTCAAGCCCATGCTCTTCAGCATCTGCTCGATAGTGACGGTGTTACCCTTCTGTTGCCTGCGCCGCATCCACCAGGAAACGACGATTGGTGTAGCGCACACGGCCACGCCCACGACAGCGGCCAGTACGGGACCGATCGTAAGGTTTGTTCGGACTTCGGTCAGGTGTTGCAAATTCTCCTCATTCAGCTTGTGAAGATACGGCAGGCTCAACAGCGTTTGGTGGCGGGTGATATTAATCCTCGCCGAGGTAGCTACGCCAGGTACTCTCTTTGGTGCATTGTTGAAGTTGGTGTATTTAGTCCCGTTGACGTGAGCGACTTGGTCAAAGGTTACCAAGTACGTTCCCGTAACTATTCGCTCGGGGCCGTCGTCGGTGGTCACAATGGCGGAGGCATCGTTGATTACCACGATACCCTCATCTATCTCCAAGATCGGGGGCAGGTTATTCGGCTGGGTGTCGCAGTGGGCCACAGCTCCAAAATGCAATTCTTGGGCGCAGCTATTCGCCGGTGCCTCCTTACAGAAGGCTAAGGCCATGCATGATGAGACAGCGATGGTCTTGCTGCCGCACTCTGCTATAATGTCCACGGGTAGCCGGATCGTTACCCCCTTGTGTGCGACTGGGAAGATGGTTAATTTCTTACAAATGAGCTTAGGTCTACTCATTTCAATTACAAAGATGATCAATTCCTTATTAACTAGAGCCCTCACATTTGCAGCGCCGAAAAGTTGGGCTACACTGATATCGGTGGAACTTTTCTTCAAAATCGCCTCTAAGTCATTGATATCGATAGCTGGATGATAGCTGGATTTACGATGTTTATTTTAGCCAGAGTAGTGGCGATCATTAGGTTCTGCAATTCGAGCGTCAGCATTCTGTTTCTAGTTAAGAGTGTTTCATATAGATGGGAAGTGTTAATTTCTTCCTTCTTGTTTACTTTTAATAATTGGTCAACAGTTTCGGTGAGGGCATTTATCTGTGTTTGAGTCCTTGAATTTATGGTTATTTGTCTATTGTTTGCGTTTATTAAATCATACTCGACCTGTCTTGTTTGGTGTAAGTCATCGAAGTCCGGAGTCCCTGCGATTATCTTCAGTGCTGACCCCAGGACATTCAAACTCCTCGCATGCCTGTGATGAACTCCTAAAGCCGCAGTCAACGTCAGTAGGTGTTTCGTGTCTGTTTCTAATATTTTCCTCATATGTGTCTGTGGGAAAACGTCAGTCATTTCTATTGTCTCTTGAATGTATCGGTCATACTCTGTCAAGTTCGTGGAGTGTTGTATGTAGAAGGTCTCGTTCCATATTACTGTCCGTCCGTCAATTATGGGAATGTAGTCCGCGTGCGTGTAGTCCGTCAGCTTTGAGTCGGTCAATGCTGTCAAGGTCAAGATTGTTAAAAGGCAGCAATATTCAACGGGTGACCTATAAGAAATGAGAAACACAACGGCTTATTAACTATACTTTCTTTAGTCCTACTATAACTTGTCCTAGTGGACTTGAACTTAGTGCTATGAATCCTGGTTCCCTAGACCTAATTCCTTACCTACCTCAAATTGTCTTTGTGGACCACCCTCCCTTTAATAAGAACGGTGGTTCCCAGGTCTGCCTCTACCTTTTGTTCTGTGCAGAGCGGAGTTAGTTTGTTCCCTAACCTCCTATTGGTTTTCACTAGGACCTGCTCGCCTACATCAAAGGTCCTATTTTTCCTGGTCGGGTTGTTCCTATCTAGCTGTTCTTGTTGGGCTTTTACTAACTTCAACATAATTTCTTCCCCAAGGTCGCAACTTGCGTGGACCACATCTATAGGTGTCTTGTCTGTGACAGAGTGGATGGTTCGATTATATTCGATAGTTGCTAGAATAACTAGTTTACCCGTATCGTCCACTTGGCGTTGCAATTTTAAGCACCTGGCTATTTCTAAGAGGGTGCTGTGGAAGCGTTCCACCTGTCCGTTTGATGTGCTGTGCAACGGTGGGCATTCGCTATATCAATGTCGAACTGGTTCTTTAATAAAGACCGAATGGTCTCTGAATTGAAAGCTGCCTCATTGTCACAGTAGATGGTTCTAATATCTGGGAAGGTGTTTACCAACTGTAAAATTGGTATTTTTACGTCTGTGATCGTGCGTGAAGTAATCTGCTGCGTTATTGCAAACTTTGAAAATTTGTCAATTGCAGTGAGGAAGTACTTCCCTGCGGTGGAAAAGATGTCGATATGAATCAACTCGCCTACCCTTGACGGAATTGGAGTCACCCCTAACTCTTGCTTCCTAGGGTGCCGGTCATACTTGGCTTTCTGGCATATCCTGCAATTTATCACCACTTCTGCTGCGATTTTTTCCATCTTTGGAAAATAATTATCACGCAGTACCTGTTTCACATTCTCCAACACATTGTGTTCAGCTGTCATTATATCTCTTCGCTCCCCGTCTTTGGTGATGTCTGTCACCAAGGTCTTGCAAAATCGAAATTTTGTGTCCGGAAAGGCTTTTACTAGATCGTTTTGCACAAACGCCAAAGTTGGCAGAGTGCAGTGGATGGCGTTAACGACTCCAGGCTTTACCACTTCCTTGATGGACGCAAGAAGTGTGTCTCGACTGGCAAAGTCGATCTTGTGACGGGTCTTCTCGGAGAAGAGGAAGTGAAACTGCTTGGAAGGGGTATTTGACTCTTCCAGGAAGCAGTTCACAGGTTTGTCTGTGGCTTCAATTACGTAAGTGGGCGAGGCTTCACTATGAATTGTTGCTGCGTCGGATCAACTCTGGCTTTCTAACGCATTGATGTTTTGCCATGACAGCGCATCTGCTACGTAATTGTCCCTGCCTGGTTTGTAGAAGACCCTTGCGCAACATTCATCAATTCTCGCCTTCCAACGTTTTATCTTGGAATTGGGGTTTCTATCTAAAACCGCGAAAATCAGTGGCTGATGGTCTGTGTAGATGTTGATGTCACTCTTTCCATACAGGTAGTGACGAAGCGTATCTAAGGCCCAGACTATGGCCAGAAGCTCTCTTTCATTGGTCGCATAGTTTAGTTCTCTGTCTTTCAGAGTCCTAGAAATCATGGTTATGGGTCTATTATTTTGCGACAGTACCGCCCCGATGCCACTGGATAAGGCATCAGTGGTTGGGTCGAACGGTTGGTTGAAGTCTGGGTAGTGGAGGATGACGTCTTCCGACGCCAAAATGTTCCTAAGTTTATCAAAGGCCTGTTTCTGAGCCTCATCAAACTGTATGGGAATGGCTTTCGAGCGTTGTTTGCTGATCTTACCATTTTCTCCCTTCAGAATGCTAGAGATAGGTCTTGCTATCTGAGCGAAGTCTTTTTTAAAACACCTGTAGTAGCTGGCAAGACCCAGGAATGATCTTACCGCAAACAGGGTGTAGGGTTGTCTAAACCCCTGAATAGTCTTGACCTTATCGGGGCTTGTTCTCGT